TACCCACCACATCCTTCTAAACTTCTCTCCCATCAAGTCAATGCCAACTCAGAGTGACCCTATAGGACACAATAGAATTGACCCTGTGGGCTTCTGAGACTGTAAATCTTTACAGAAGTAGAAAGCCTCACCTTTCCCCACAGAGTGGCTGATTGTTTTGAACTGCTGACCTCGTGGATCCCAGTGGAACAGTGAGCCAGTACTCCATCAAGGCTGCTTCGGCACATTCCTAGAATGCAATAATAGTAATTCTCTCTGTTGTTAGCGGTCAAGTGGGCTCCAACTCATAGCGACCCCATTTACATTAGAAGGAAACCCTGCCATCTTCAAAGTCATTTGCTACACTTGGGTCCACTATTGCTGGCACTGTGTGTTTTGAGTGCATTCCAACCTAGAGGCTTAATCTTTCTGCACTATATTAGGTCATATTCTGGTATGGCTCATAGGATTTCCATTGGCTAATCACCAGACCTTTCTTGTTAGTCTGTGTAGACTGGCAGCTCTTCAAAATCCTGTTCAGCACAAATGCCCTTTTGACATTTGAAACACTAATGAAATCATTCCCTTTATGAAACAAACACACAAGCCACTTCAGTGTGATAAACTGGCAGATGGGTGCTTTGATAATACTCAAAATTTATTGTAATCAAAATATAAACCTTAGTCATGAAAAGAAAATTCAAAGAAGAAATCTTTCCACTTAAATGGAAAATAGTATTCAAAGTAAACTGTAAGCACCAGTAAGAACAGTGAAATTACTGTAGAGTTGCATTAGGGTAAGTGACTTAACAGGTCCAAGGCTGCAGCCAAATACATGTGCATATCGATAAGTGTTGCCTTCCTAGAAGCTTCTTTCAAGTGCCAACAACAACACTGAGGCCTGCCGGCCTCTGACTCACACATCCCATCCAGAGCAGCGGTGTCAGCATGTTGGGTTGATAGAGAAATGGATTGTATGTATCTGAACTACCATTTGGTGATTTTCCAGAACATTTTTAAGTCAAATGAGTGCTAGATGGAATCTGATTAATGGAACGCCTGCACAAAACCTCTCTGACCCTCCCAGATGTTAGTTAATAGGAAAGAAGAATCTTATCAAGCTTGAGGCTATTTTCTTGGGGTGCAGAAAGAGGAGGGGCTTGGCCCTTCTCATAACTGTAGGAGTCAACAAAAAGCTTTGAACCTTGAGTCTTAAACAGCCTGGAGCTTTTATGGAGCCATTATTTTTTTTTGCTCCAATTTTCAACAATTGTGTTCTAGGCAAACACTTCAGCTAGAGAAATCAAGCAGCCAGTCAACAAATACACATTGACTACCCACTCTGTGTCAGGCACTCCTTTCTGGGCTGAGGACACTGAGATCCGCACATTATACCGCATGTCTGCCTCCAGGGAGCGGGGCTGGAGGACAGAAACTAAACACAAACATACACAAGATGGTTTTTGCTCACGACAAGTGCTACAGAGAAGATCGAAGGGCATACTATAATAGAAAGCAATTAATAGGACAGTATCTCTGGAGAAGGACTCTTGGAATTGAGGCCTAACCAGAAGGAGGCAGTCCAGTGGTGGCTCTGGGAAAGAGCAGGAGGAGTACCATGTGCCAGAGCTCTGCGCTTGCCATGTTTCATGGACAGAAGAGAGTCGTGTGGGGGCATGGAGGAAAGGGCGTGGGGAGACAATGTGGGAACATGGACCAGAGAATGAGAAGCCCCCAGAGCTGTCAGTAGACAAGTGGTAGCACTTTCAAATGACTTCGCTAGCTGCTAGGGCAGTGGTTCTCCACCTGCCTAGGGCTGCCACCCTCCAATACAGTTCCTCATGTGGTGGTGGCCCCCAAACATAAAATTATTCTCATTGCTGCTTCATAACTGTAATGTTGCTACTGTTATGAATCAGGCAACCCCGGTGAAAGGGCCGTTTGACCCCCAAAGGGGTCGTGACCCACAGGTTGAGAACCGCTGTGCTAGGGGAGCGAGCTCTCTGCTAGAAGGCAAAGGTGGAGACAGGTTGGGATCCAGGACCAGTAAAGAGGAAACAACAGAGATAACGATGGATGTGGGGTCTGTGACTACGTCTAGGTGTCCTTTCCGCGTCTACGATAGATTGTAGGATTGGTGTTTATCAACGTGTGTTCTTCTGCTTGCTTATTCCTGGAATAGTCAGAGGGCATGAGGGTTGGCGTTAACATTTGATTTGGGAGTCATACAAACATGAGCTTCAAATCCTGGTGCTGACACCTCCACTTTGTGTGATCATTCCTTCTTTCTTTCTTACCTTGGTCTTCTAAATCACGTCTGCATTCTTTAGCCTTTTCCTTTATCATATTTCTCTCATTTATATTTATTTCAATGACTGTTTTTCATAATTAATGTTGCTCATTGTTGACTTTTTCTATTTTCGAGTCTTGGCTTCCATTTTGCCAATGTTTTCCTTTTTCTCTTTGATGCATTTATTATACTTTTTAAGAAGGTCTTTTAGTATCATCTTCTGTAGCAAAGTATAATCCAGTAGATTGGTTGGTGGTAAATTGGGCTACCAAAATCTATGCTCCTAAAATGTCTTGTTTAGGCCTGTGAATTCATTTTCCCTCATAGATTGTGATTGGAAAGCTCGAGATCCAAAAGAATCATGTCAGATCCACTGAGCTCAGGGAGCAAGGTCTGCATGAGCCCCAGGAACCAGAAAACTACAGTCAACCCACTCTCCATGCTACAACGTGACATCTCTGCTCGGGTCTTCACTTTGTCCCCTAGGATGAAGAGACATTAGGAGAACCGTTACTCACCCATTGCTCCAGCATTTGGAAGTGGATCCATGGGAAAGCAATTGCCTATGATCAGTTGTGACCCCGTTTCTTATTGCTGTTTCTGCTGTTGGCCAATACAGTCCTTGTGCCCCGCCCCAATCTTACTCTTAGGGATACTTGTAGACCAGAGTCCAAAATGTCATGAGCTGGGAGGTGCTATTTTTGCCAAAGCCATTGAAGAGGAGTGAGTTAGTTAATTGTGCCAGCCTGGCTGATAATCACATGTGGGGCTAATTGAAAGGCAGAGGGATAAATGGGTGGTGAGCCTCGCCTTTCTAGTTCTCGGGTCTCTTGTTTTGTGATGGTTGCATCGGGTGCAGCTGCCTTAGCAGTTCCCTGCTTCAGCTTGCAAGATTGACGTCCTACAAGACATCCCCAAGGAGAAGCTACATGGACCTATCCCGATGCAGCCCTGGGTGCTGGAGCAGCCATGTGGAGACCCCTGCTAGTGCTGAGATGCTTATTCGTTTACTGACTCAGCTTTCCTCCTGCAGTCGGCATCATCGCCTCTGTTTTGTGAGGAGGTGGAGGACTTTGTGGACTTGTGTTGGGTTAATAGGTTAATGTTGGACTTGTGGGCTTGGGCAGCATTGGGTGGGGATGTTTTCATGATGCACATTTTCTTTACATAAAACTCTCTGCTTATACATGAGTGGATTTGTTTCTCCAAAGTACCCTGACTAATACAAGGAGAAACAAAAGCAGTTCCCTACCTTCCCACAGTCTCACTGAGCTGTCTTGCCCCAAGCCAAGGCCACCATCTGAATCAGGTTGATTTGCCCAGGAAAAGACTCTGAGACAGAGATGGGGGAACAGAAGGCTTGCTATGGAGTGATCTGGAAACCGCATACTGAAGGGGATGAAAAGAAAAATTACACACAAGGAAATTGTGGCCTCTCTCGGTACATTGATGCAGTACCAACAAAAGCCGACCTGACCCCCGCAGGGATGTCGCTTCTATGTTATTCTGAACAGGAGAAAGCATCCTAGATATTTATACACTCATATTGGCCAGTCTGGTTTTAGTCATGCATCCAGAGACGAAATCTGATTAAAACAATCCGGTCTTGTTTTGGTTTTGTTTCTTTTACTTAAAGCTTATTAACATTTTGCAGAGCGAATCTTACATGTAATTGCAGTGATGTGAAAACAGTGTTCATTAAAGCTCATTCTGGATACGAGTTTATAAAAGGGTTTTTTAAATAAAACTTCTCAAATAGTGTTGTAAAATTATAATTGTATGCACTTTTGCAATTTTCTATCTTTTTCAAGTTTTATTTATCTTTATATGGTAGCCAATTTCAGCTTAATTAATACTAGAAATTTACTTAAGGTATATCAAAACGTTTTCAGTTACTCCCCCTACATAAGATAGTAACAATCATGAAGAAAAATAATGATTTTCCAGGAATATTTAGAGTAAATGTCTAACCCGGTTCCATGACACCGTGGAATGTTTCCATGCTCACGTGTACAAACTATATCCCATTCAGGAATCAGAAATGAGTACACACGCCTTCGGAAGTGATTTGTGTTTAGGGAATAAGATAATCAAATTAATTAGCCCATGTGCTCAGCAGAGCCAAGACCGATTACTGAACTACTTGAAGAACTACTTCCTCATGTGTAAAATGAGAAAACCAGTGCTGACCGTTAGTTTGCTAGTACACAAGGCGAATCGTCAAGAGAAGGATATCATATGCAAAGTTTTTCAAATTTATTTGATCATAGGATTGTTTTTATTCTGACTTATTTTACTGGACTAGATAGATTCTTCCACTTGGCACTTAACAGATTTTTACAGTTAAAGAAATTTAGATTGTTTCTAGATTAGTGTTATTTATACAGGGATATATAAAGACATGCATCTTGAGAGAAAGCCTTCTAACATCTTCCTTCATGAATCCTCTCCTTTCTACTCCTACCCATTTGGCTTGAAAATATACCACTATAATATATAGAACATTCCCTGCTTAAGTAGCGTGAAAAACACATGATACAAGACCAAAGCAGGCATTAAGTCTGATCTGCTGCCCAGCTGACATCTAAACCAAGATTCCGACTCCATCGGTACTTGAAATACTACTGAATTTCTCCTAGTGGAGACAAAATAGTAGTGACGATAAGAGTTCTGGTTCCTGAGTCCTCTAGCTTAGTTTTGTAATATCCACGGTGTTATGTTTCCTGACCAGGGGTCATTCTTTCCTTCCCGTCATTCCAAACACCCAGAGAAGCCAGCTGGAAGACAGACTAAACAACCAGGAGCGCACCATAGCCTTCCTCCTAGAGCAAGCCTTTCGCATCAAGGAGGACATCTCTGCCTGTCTTCAGGGGACCCACGGCTTTAGAAAAGAGGAGTCGCTTGCCAGGAAGCTACTGGAGAGTCACATCCAGACCATCACCAGCATAGTCAAGAAACTCAACCAAAACATTGAGGTATTTTTCATACGTTGTCATTGCTTGACAAGCTTTATCAACCAACAGCATCATTTTCAACCTCGGAAACATGTAGCTACTATTGACGTCTAAATGTTTACAAATTTAGTCATCCCAGAGGAAAATGGTTCAATTTTTCAACTGCTTATTTATGCCAATGTGTGTTAGACAGGGTTCTCTAGAGAGATAAAACCAAATTGCTGATAATTTAATATATTTATTTATAAAGATAATTAGATATATAACA